CATCCAGGCACTTCTAGTGGAAATGAAAGGTGAAGATTAGCTGATACCTGAAGACTTAGCACTAAGTCAAAATTGTGGGAAAGGGTAACAAAAAAGTTGTGAATTCAAAGTACACAAGACCTCCCCTGTCTATATGCTTTATATTTATGGAAAACATAATACTGAAAAAACGTCTTTTCCTCTGCGGGCGATTATCTAGCAGGGTTAGGTAAACCAGGAGGTGGTATTTAATAGCACGTTTCCACTAAATGTCAGACCTCTGGCTCTAACATCTGTTTTAAGTTACTAAAACAGCTGTCCGAAACAGCTGTAGCAAGCATGAACTTCATTTTTCATAACACCGACAATGGGAACGTGGATGCAGACTCAGATTGAAAATACAGTGTTCTCTAAGATACTAGCAAGGTCTTGGCAGCAACTTCCGTGGTAAAACTTTTAAAATATAATTTCTGTCAAAAAGGTATTCACCAAAAAAAAAAAAAAATCCAGTGTCATTATAAATAAAAATAATCAAATAATAGTAACAGCAAACTGAAAAAAAAAAAAAAAATTCACCTGGGCAAGGAAAACTGAGATCAGTTAGATCAGTATTTTTCAACAACTGGATCAGAAAGTCAATATAGTGGGTTGCAACCAGCATTTTATTTTTAAATAAAGAAAACAGAGAAACAGTGTGAATTATACGTAGTAAAGAAAGTATTGTTTCATGAAACTTCTGTTTCTGATCTTTGTATGTATACGTGACTATATACGTATATGTGTGGTGTATATATGGTGGGTACATACATATTTGTGTGTACATACATATGCAGATAATTTTTGTTTTATATCTTTACCCCGGTTTAAGATGTAAAATGTTTCTCTTATTATGGATAACGGTCAGAGAAGGTCAAAAGCCACGGTTTTGAACATCAAAGATATTAAGATGAACTTTCAAGACCCTTCCAATTTGGGAGAGTCTCTAATCCTAAGACGTTAAGAATCTCAAGATTTTTGGCTTAATATCAACTTATATATATATATATAATTTTTTTTTTCCTCCATTCTTTCAAAATGAAAAAATGCCTTTAGTTAGAAATAAAGCACCCCAAAAACCACTTTTTAAAAATTTTTATTTTTTTGTGGGGAAGTAGAAAAGAATAGCTTTATTGCAGGGGGCCAGCAAGGTAGTCCAGGGCAGCTAGTGCTTAAAAGACCCTGAAACTCCCCGAAGGCTTTCAGGGAAGGGTTTGTAAAGACAGTGTGAGGCAGGGGGTTGTGGGGTGTGTGATCAGCTCATGAACACTCTTCTGACTGGTCGGTGGTGAGGTAATTGGGAGTCGGCATCATCAACCTCTGGTTCCAACCCGTCTGGGGTCTACGTGCTTGAAAAACCACTTTTTAGAGTGCATCGACGATCAGCCTATTTTTACAATGACACGACTTTTTATCCATTTAAATGTATGGAGAAATAGGTGTGAAATTGTGATTTATGAGAGGAAATATATATTTAGTCTTCGTCCCCCTTCCAGGCACAGCGCTCCTAAAACCCTTGGAATTTCCTGTGATGAGCAGCAGCAAGGTGTCTTTTGCTACGTTACCAAGGTGACTTCTGGAAAGCACCTAAGGATGGGGGGGGCTGCTTGCCAGGGGAGCCAACCAAGTGACTAGCGGGTTGGAACTTTTCACTCTTACCCCCTGATGTCCAGGGAGAGGAGAGGGGCTGGAGATTGAGTTCAGTCACCAGTGGCCAGTGATTTAATCATTCATGCCTATGTAATGAAGCCTCCTTATAAACCCAAAAGGACAGGGTTAGGAGAGCTTCCGGGTTGGTGAACACGTGGAGATGTGGTGAGAGTGGTGTGCCCAGCGAGGGCATGGAAGCTCTGCACCCTTTCCCCATGCCTTGCCCTACGCATCTCATCCATCTGGCTGTTTCTGAGTTATACCCTTTTCTAAGAAACCAGTGATCTGGTAAAGTAAACCAGTAAAGTAAAGTGTTTCTCTGAGTTCTGTGCCCTGCTCGAGCAAATTAATTGAACCCAAAGAGGGGGTCGTTGGAATCTCTAGTCTATAGCCAGTGGGTCGGAAGCCCAGCTAGCAACCTGGACTTAAAATTGGCATTCTGAAGTAGGAGGGGAGGGGGCAGTCTTGGGGGACTGAGACCTCAACCGGTGGAATCGGATCCTGTCTCTGGGTAGACGGAGTCAGAATCGAGTTAAATTGTAGGACACCCAGCTGGTATGTGAGAATTGTTTGGTGGTGTGGGAAAAGAACCCCACACATTGGAATTGGGTGCAGGATCATAAGGGGCCTATGATAAGGTATAATTTGGTAGGAAGTAGGAAAGAAAATGTCAAGGTGACAGCATCACAGAAAGACCAGCCAGCTCTTCTAGCACCTTATCTACTCTCGTTATGTGGACTTTGTTTGTTTGTTTATTTGATTGTTTTCTTCAGGAAAATGAATGAATTCTCTCAGGCCACCAGGGTACTACTGAGTAAGTAGGAACTTGGTTAATGGAACGGGTATCAGACGAATCCTGCTTATCCCCTATTTGAGAACTCAAATTAGCACTCAGGGGCTGATATGCTTCCATAAGCACTAATTCAGTAAACACTATCCAGGCGGCCTGAATAGAGTTTCCTAGGTTTTCCATATAAGTAAATTAACATCAGACAAGTAAATATAACATCAGAGAGGCTGACTGCCAAATACCATATCAGAGGAGGTATATTTCTGATCTTTCATACCCATGTGGTATCTAGCTTCAAGGACTCTAAAAGGGGGATGCCGGGAGAGGGTGCAAAGATCTCACCTTAAGATGATTAGGATGGGCCCAGAGACCCAGTACAAAAAAGCTGCCGCTGGGGAAGCGGAGCCGTGAGCCCTGCTGTAGCCTCTCCTCTGATACTCTAGTTGTTCAGATGTGAAAGAAATGCCCAGGGCTGCCACTGACTTCCCACAGAGCAGGTGAACAACCTTTCAGGTCAAGGAGCAGGGAGGAGACGCATGTCTATGACCTTCAAGGGGGAAGCTTGGGGTCAGTGAAATGTGTGTGAGATGCGGGGCCCAAAGTTCTGGCCCCATGAGTAGCTGTGTGATCTTGAGGAAGACACTTGCTCTGCTTGAGGCTAAGCCATTCCTATTTATCTAGAAGGGGGTTTCTAGGATTCTCTCCTGTCACAGATGTCTCCATTACAGCAGTAATACTACTGTGCTGTGGTATGAACTTCTCGGGAAGGCTGCATCCCCAACTGACCGTTAAGTACCTTGACGGCAAAGAACTTGGCATTTCTACTTTGCATCCCTGACACCTCCGCTGGTACATAGTAGGTGCTAGCAAAAGCTGGCAGGATCAAGGTGAATGTGTTTGATTTATGTCAAACCAGCATGTGGTCTTCTCATTATGAATCATGGCATTTTGGGAGAGGAGGCAGTGAAGATAGGATGGAGAAGAGGCTGGCAGGTGTGGGATAAGGAGGTGGGTGGAAGACAGAAGACTTTTATCTGTTAAAATCAACACATCAGAGGCGCTCAGCGGTGAAAAGATGGCTGGTGCAGACATTTAAAATTAGCTTCCCCTGACGGTTCCTTAGCAACGCTCTATCAGAACATTATTGCTTTTAACGTGCACCACACAACGTTCACTCGCACATGAAATAGCTGGGAAATGGCCATTGTTAACCGACACTGAACAAAAAGATAGGAACAACACAGGACTCAAAACAGCCTCCTCATTGCCCTTATGGAGAGGAACAAATAGCCAGATTCTCTGCCGCCCTTCCCTCCCTGGCAGCCCATTAGGGGTGCCAATCACTGGTCACAAAGCCTTGTGCTTCCCCCCCACCCTTGGTTCTCTAGAATATCCCTCTATTTGCTCACAGGTGACTGCTGCCATTCTATTTTTTTCTTTTCAATTGAAGTATAACTGACATACACCATTATATTAGTGTCAGGTGTACAACCTAGTGATCTGGCATTTGTACGCACTGTGAAATGATCACCCGATAGGTCTATTTACCATCTGTCCCCATACAAAGTTACAGTATTTTTTCTCTTGTGATGAGAACTCTGAAGATTTTCTTTCTTAGCAACTTTCACACTTGGAATACAGTGTTATTGACTCGAGCGTCCATGCTGTCCGCCATTCTTTTTATTCATTGAAGGGGGGCGCGGTCAGTGACCTGTTTTATCTTAGGGCAGTGAACCACTAGAAATAGTCCAAAACACTAACAGTAGCAGCAAAATAGCTCCGTGGATGAAGTAAGGCATCTGAAGCTCATACTGGCTGGTAGGAAAATTCAGTGCGGTAAAATGCTGTATTTTTGGTATGAGGGGCAAAATACTGAAAGTCAAAGTGATGGGAAAAATAATTTTAATGTTCAATAATATTAATGTTCAGATATATTAACATTTAGAGTAAATAATATTAGTGTCTTTCTTGGTGAAAATTGTATTCTATCTATGCAAGTGAAAAAAATAATGAACTAGTACATAGAGATTTAATTGTACTTATGTTTAAACGATGGGGTAGGATACAGTTTTCAAATATACATAAAAGGCATGAGATTGCAAGCCCGAGTTCCCACCACCACTGTACGCTAGGCCTATCGCAGACCTTGCTGTATCACGTAGTAGCGGTACGTCCCTGGCAAAGGCACCATCACGGCATTAATGTCCGCGTCTGTAAAAGTCACTTAATAACTGCTCTTAAGTAAAAGCTATCTCATAATTAACTCTTCAGACTAATGTGCCAAGCAAGGAAGATATCGATACTTTATAAACGTAAGTTACTACTCTTCTTTCTAGAAACATCTTGATTACACAGGTATTTGAACTGGAAATACTCCAAACCAGAAATTCACACTCGAAGACAAAAATCTTCTCCCAGTGATCCCAAACTGGCATTCCGTCAGCACCTGTTTATGTAAACATGGAAACTACACATGCTAGTTGGGTATGGAAACGAGTGGCCTACTTCCAGGAAGCTTGAGTGACTTCTTGGTAGTGGCGCTTACCTCTCGAACTAGGGAAGGAGTTGTTGAGTTGCTCCATCACTTCTTCTAACCCTGTGCTTGTGTCCTGGGGAGGACTGAGAAGATCTTCCTCACCTTAATGAAAGCAAACACAAACAATGGCAAATTACACTTGAGAAAATACAGATACCAGAGAAAAGGTTCATGACGCCATTTAAAAATCCATTATTAATTCATTTTCACTCCTTCATCAATAACATAAATAAAAATAACCCCTCAAGCTTAATAATTAGGGAACAGTTCCTTCACGGGAAAAAGAATTTCATGCAGGGATTTATCTACGTCATTATCTTTGGAAAAGAAAACTGTGTATCTGCTTAGAAGTTAAAGTTGCCGTAAGTTTCTTATGCCCCATTAACAAACGTGAAATGTTTTTCTTTGTAATAAAAGATGATTATCGCACATTTGCAGCGTGTCTCTTCAACACAAAAGAAGCACGTGACATTTTGCGTTCACTTTAGGAAGGTAAGGAGTGGAGACACTGAGGTACTTTTTCCATTCTTTACTGCGACATTTAACAAAAAATACAGAGAAAACTCAAGTACCTTTAAAGTCCAACGTAACAGGGAGAAATAAAAGTTGTATGTGCCCTATATAGGAAATGAAATATTGATAGTCTAAGGACTGTGTATATGGACATACTGGGAAGTTATGTTCCTTTCCTATTTGTTCCATGGGGTTACTTCATCATAATTATGTTTGTAGAGGCTGACAAAGGGAAACTTTTTAACAAAATTTTTGAGCATTTGTTCATGTGAGGAGAGAAGGATGATTTGGAAGGAAGGGAGTTTAGGGATGGATGGTCTTCTTCTGGGCATGGGAGTCTCCTTGTAGATTTTGTTGATCTGTGTCTCCACTGTTTACTCATGTGTCAAAGAAATACACCTCAAACAGCATTTGCAGTAAGGGAGAAATTTCCTAAGTGCAAACAAAATTGTTCTGAACTTTGAAGGTCCTTTGAAACTAATTTTTCATAACATTCAATCTTCCAACAGTGAAAATAACTTCTTTTCAAGCTCTGTTTGTTGAGCACATATTGTCACTTCCATTTAAAACAAGACCTTGCTTCAGCGGATCAACAAAAATATACACGCTTAAGGGGTTGACAACCTCTGGTTCACATGTGACTTGAAAATGACTGGGGAGCCAGTGGTGTAATGACTTAAATATGCCTGTCATTTCCTTTGGTCTATGCCACTTGGATCTTCATCTCTGATTATAATCCTGCATTTACTACCAAGTGTTCATCATTCTTTCTTAAAGCACAAGCTAAAAGAATCCTTGGCAGTGCTCACCATTTAGACAAAATCCTATCCTAGGTGGATGTGAGGCTGTATACCATTGTTAGAAAGGAGGGCTAAGGGCCTGGGGTAGACAGAACCCCTCTGATTCTGTGAGTCTCCTGGTAACATACCATCGGAGCCCTCTTTGAAGTACTAAGGACAGGAAATGATTGCTATTCAGGTTATAAGGGGAAAAGGAAGTTAGATTATCTATCCGTCCATCCACATGCACATACTACTTGCTGATATTTATGCCTTTAGAAATGAAAAAATGAAATTCAGCATCTTTAGTTTCTTTTTGCCTGTGGGTTTTTAAATTTTATTTATTTAATTTAATTTATTTTTGGCTGCGCTGGGCCTTCGTTGCTGCGTGCGGGCTTTCTCTAGTTGCAGCGAGCAGGGGCTACTCTTCGCTGTGGTGCGTGGGCTTCTCATCGCGGTGCCTTCTCTTGTTGCGAGCACGCGCTCTAGGTGCGTGGCCTTCAGTAGTTGTGGCACGCGGGCTCTAGAGCGCAGGCTCGTAGTTGTGGCACACGGGCTTAGTTGCTCCCCGGCATGCGGTAACTTCCCGGACGAGGGCTCGAACCCGTGTCCCCTGAATTGGCAGGCGGATTCTTAACCACTGTGCCACCAGGGAAGCCCCTTGCCCGTGGTTTTAAACTGCCATCATCTGGAAAGGATGGAATGAATGAAATACTGCCAGAAGGAACAGGATGCTGACAGCTGCAGGGTTGATTACATCTCTGTTCCGTTACCAATGCAAAATTTTGCCGAACTGGGGAACACGAGGCATTTTTAATGGTGTCAAGTCCACTTTAGTGATAGTATGCCTTACAGAATAAATTGGAACCAACAGAGACACTCACGAGCAATGATGTTAATATTTCTGACAGTTTAGTTAGCTCATACTGGAGCTCCAGGAACTCAACTGTACTGTCTTAAGGTTTAGGTACAGTTCAGTGAAGTGACTGACATTCTTCTCCCTGAATTACTTCAAGGATCAAAAAAAGGTATAAACCTAGTGATGTCAACCAGTCATAACTGTCAGCTGTGAGTCTCAAATGTAAGTGTCCAAGTACAAATGTAAACTTGGCTTCTTTGTTTTAATGGAAACTTTCATGGCAGTTTCATGTATCCACTGAAACAGTTTTTCAGGGCCTGTTACTTCGCAGGTAGAAAATAAAGAGGTAAAGTGTAATCTTTTCTTCTTTTCTCAAGATTTCCACAGTTAAAACTCCTTTGGGTTTAACTAATCTCCTTTAAAAGTGGAAATCAGAATTATCACATATATGCGTGAGTAAGAAGTGAATCAACCACTGAAAAATGCTTTTAAGGCCTAATATTTTCTGTGTCAGATTATACTGGAAAAGTGAAAACTGCTAAATGACACCTGAAATTAAAGTAATGCCACCGGACTATTCAATACTGAGCCAGATTTTAAATGTCAAAAAAAGAAGCCATAAAATTTTTCAAAACAGATTTATTGATATATTCAAGTACTTATCAAAAGCCAACTATGTGCCAGGCAGTGTTCTGAGTACTGGGATTGTAGCAATACACAACCAAAAAGCCCTGGCTCCATGGCATTCACATTCTTATGGAGGCACTCAGGCCTCAGAAAAGAGGGTTAGGGAGGGGCAGTGAGGAAGACTCTTCAGAAAGGGGAGTCTAAGAAGCCCTCATTAATAAGGGGCAGGTGAGCCAAAACGTTAGGGACTTGAGGCTGGGAGCCATGTAGATATTTGAAGGAAGAGTGCATGAGACAGAGGGAATAGGAAATGCAGACTCTGAGAGGAGAGTGTGATTGGCCTGCTCACACAAGAAGGCGGCCAGTACATACAGAGTAAAGTGACCGAGTGCTGGGAGGAACGTGCTTCTCTGGCTCAGGAATTTGGACATGGTCACATAACCTGCTTTGGCCAATGGAATGTTAGATATGACATAAGCAGAGCCTTGTAATGTCCTTAAGTGGTTGGGCTTGCTTTCTTGTGCTTATGTGCCATAAGAAGTACATGGTCCAGTGGCCTTCTGACCCAAGGGGGATGCTCAGAGACATGTGGAAAAGACTTGACCCCAACCCACAACTTGGAGTCCAGCCTAGTTGAGCTCCAGCACAACTCCGATCAACCAACAAGACGGCATGAATGAAAAATATGTAACTTGGGAATTTTCCGATTATTTTGTTACACAGCAATAGCTGATTGATATACTGTTTTAAGGCATCGAACTAGCAAGATACCAATATTTATGGGTTATCTAATCATATGCTGATATGTAGCTATAACATTATAGGCGGCCCAAAAATGGTCCTGACTCTAACAACAATACTGGTGCCCACAAGCCTCCTCCCACAAAAAAAAAAAAAAAAAGAAAAACCTCAAGAAAATACTTACTGAGTCCCAACTGTGTACACTGGGAACCTGGCCAGCCCTCATCCCTACTTCACTGATCCATTGCCTGCTCAAACAGCACTGCTAATGGTTCAGGGATTTCGAACTTAGGTAATGGCAATTCTTTAGCATTAACACTTCAATTTGATTGATTCTATTCTGAGGTGATCCCCACAGATATGCATAAAAATCCTTTTTGGATTATTGGCCCTAGTTTTCATGGTTTGTCTGAAGTTGGTCCAAAGAAATGACTGAAACATTAAAATAAAATGAATGTTTCAAAATAAGGGAAGACATAGTCAGAGTTAAACTAGCACTCTGATATAGCATAATATGATAGACACTGCTGAAGTGAAGGAAAAAGGAGATGACTGAATTTAATCTGAGATCGAAGAAGTGAAATGGTTTGCTATAATAGGCAAGATATTCTTTATATCTAACTCACTTCCCTTTCCTCAATTCAAATGACGATAATGGTTCTACTTGCCTAAAAAGTGACTTTAGCCAGAAATGATGTAAGCTGAGACACGTATGATTTTGTTTACACCCAAGCAAACTATTTTCTCTTTATACAAAAGGAAGCTGTGTATCAGAACATTATTTTGTCTTAAAAAGGGGGCTGTGTATGAGCAAATGTGCCCACCCCTATTTTTCTTTGGATTACTTATCTAAATCATATATTTTGTTTTTAACCAATTTCCAACTTGATGTGTGACTACTTTGTCATTCCTGCCTTTCTCTAGTTTTCCTTAAGAAGAAAAAAGATCTGTCCAGTACCTGATATTTACCTTCAGTGACTTTTTGAAATTATGACTCGGGGTAGATGGTTTCCATTTTACATAAAAATGCTGTGTTTAAGTTCTTTACTATATTAACGGTGTACAGTGATGATGTTGATTACTAGTTGGTTAGTGTTGAATAGTGATGAAAGATATTGAAATTAGTAGCTGTTATCCATTTGTAAAATTTTTATTGAGATATAATTGACATGTAACGTATTAACTTTAGGTGTACAACATAATTATTTGAAGTAAGTATATACTTCGAATTGATTACCACAGTAAGTTAACATTCATCACCACAGTTACAAATCTGAAAAGTTCTCATCACAAGAATGAAAGGTTTAATAATCTCGTAGCAACTTTTTTTTAGTTGAAGTTTAGCTGATTTACAATGTTGTGTTAGTTTCAGGTGTACAGCAAAGTGATTCATATATATATATATATATATATATATATATATATATATATATATGTATATATATGTATATGTATATATGTATATGTATGTATATGTATTCTTTTTCATATTCTTTTCCATTATAGGTAATTACAAGATACTGCATATACTTTCCTATGCTATACAGTAGGGCCTTGTTGTTTATCTATTTTATATCTGTTAA